CTCTCTCTCTCTCTCTCTCTCTCTCTCTCTCTCTCTCTCTCTCTCTCTCTCTCTCTCTCTCTCTCCACTCCCCGATGCAGGCAGTCCGTCGCCGCGCATCAACACAAAGTTGTCACCCCGCTTGGTCCGAGCATGCAAGCCAGGTTCGCCCGTGCACCACAGTCCGTCACGGCCCGCACGTCAACCCCGCATACCCGACACCAGCTCGTCGGATCGCCCAACTCTCTCGTCGACTCACCTCTTTCAGCTGACTCATTAGAAGACCCTCACTGGTCGCGCTAACTCCAAGATTCATAGAGAGCAAACTAATAGCGTTTGTGAAATTTATAGCATGCATGCTCGTGCGAAAGATACGGGATTAGGCCTAAGTGAGAGAGAGGGGGGGGGGAAGAGGAAGTGCCTACGTTCTGCATGGCCAGGCCGTGGCGTGGGGGACGTAGCCACTCTCCATGCATCGATCAGAGCATGCAACGCCTTGGCCAATCAGGTCGTAGGGAGGCATATGCATAGCCTGGAGAAAGGAGGCGGGAAGAAGACGAGAGCAAGAAGAGAGATACAGTTACAATTGCGCCCGCCAAAATTACAGTTATACACAAGATTAAGGGCGCGGCTAGATGCGCGCACGCAAGGAGCGCGGCGCAGCAAAAATTCAGAGTACCTAAATTCCTAACCTAAGTCCTAATTACAAAAAGGAAATTCCGAAAAGACAAAAGAACAATTCCGAGAGCTCGTGGGGGCTTTGCATCAGTTGAAAAAAAAAAAAAAAACGATACTCCCGCGCGATAATCGTGCCAAAATTTTCCCAGTGCTCACATCAGAACAAGAAAGAAGCTATGACACCCGTTATTCCTCCGCGGTTAATCAATCGTCGGCGCGGGATCTTCCCGACACCGACCCGACAAAAACGAAAACGAAGTGAGGGCATCCACGCAACTTGCCCAGCCGACCCATCCCTACGCACTTCACCCGATTAGCCCGACACGTTCCCTCAAGGCAGCTTCGCGCAGAAAGTCGCACGATTACAGGAAATGGTTTGTCACAACACACTCGGCAATACCGGCCGGGTCCAAACCCACGTCGTTGTGCTGTGAGGTCCTCACCAGCACCTCACCAGCAATTCCTGAAGTCATGCCGTTTAACAAGCCTCAATTTTAGGAAATGTACGGGTCACTGCACAAGCACCCAAATTCATCCGACTAAAAACGTTTCTAGTCTATTTTTTTTCCGGCTGCCCATAGATGGGCCAAGTAATTGTGGTAGTACATTTCCCCCTTCTGAACCGCTCAATTTCTGAGAGTCCATAATGTCCAGAGGATGGCACCCCGAAAGAGTCTCTTCAAAGTACGCCAAATAATCTGTTCTGGGGGGCGGTCCTCCCAATGCAACGCCTCAAAGAACGAAGTCCTCGAACTACGTCTCACAAAAAAGGGGATGCATGTTGGCCCACACCCAAGGCAGCATCACGCATGCTAAGAGGGCCCAACTTCACGTCATGCAATCTACCTCCTTCATCTACTACTTCCTGCCCCTAGTCATTATTTCTCGGTTACCTTCCGTGCATCCTGAGCCTTCACCGTGTTTGGTGGTCCCCACTGCACACTGGCTATCTCAGAGGGGAGTGGAATTGCCTATTTTACCTTCCGTGCATCCTGAGCCTTCACTGTGGTTCTGATTTTGTTCCTGGCAACTGCTCTCCGGGGGCGAGGTCCCACCAGCTAAGAGGATCGGATCGAATGCCCGAATCTGGACGAGGTTATGCAGTAAATCGAGATTGAACTGCTTTTCTGCATCTCTGCATAAAACACATCCAGATTCCGAAGCTCGATCCTACCCTTCTTGCTAGTGGGACCTCGGCCCTGCTAGACTGTGAGGACTTAGGCCTCGAAAAAGGAAAAAAAAAACGAAGGCCTCGTCCAGTTCCTGGCTGGTGTTGCTGCCCACAGCTTGGAGCTCCGTGTTTAGGTGGGCGGGGAGGAGAGGGGGGGGGACAAGGAGTGAAAAAGGGACAATCAGCAATGGGCCGCTTTTGGACGATGCTCCTATCATCTCCAAAATTGGGGCCCTCCATGGACATGGATACAACAGGGAAAAAAGGAAAAAGGAAAGGAACTCGTACATCACAGTCGACATCGCAATGACGCTCAGTCTGGGGGGGGCGGGACGGCTGCCATGGCAGAGCAGCTCCCCACTTTCCCCCGCTCGAGGCTGCGCTGGCAGCGCGACACTCTGCTCCGCCTCTAGAGACGGGTGCTCACGGCTGCGATGGCGCGGGGACAGCGCAGCTCTCCGCTCCGGCGCTCGAGAGGGGCGGGAAGATCTCAAGAAGGCGGGAAACAACACCTTGTGCGACCCAACTTCTTCCTCCCGCTACACTGCTACGAAAAGGCGGGAAACACATTTCTCGACCAAGTATACGCGCGCGCGCGCGCGCGCGCGCGCGCGCGAGAGAGAGAGAGAGAGAGAGAGAGAGAGAGAATAACACTTGCAAAAGAGAGACTCCGAGCAGAGAAGAGAGAGAGAGAGAGCGCCTGCTGGGTGGATATCATGTGAGCTCCCTCTCGTTTGTTGTCAGTCAGAGGTCTCCCGCGCACAGCGTTTACCTCTCTCTTTCCCCCCGTTTTTCCCGCCGGTCCCGCTTTCTCTCAGTCGCGGCAGCTTCTACCGGTAGGTGGTCCATCTCCATCTGCACGAAGCGAAGCGAGACGTAAGTCAACTCATTAGCTCCATATCCAGCCATGGAGCCATCCAGCTTGGCGGCTATGGCTTCCATCGTCATTGTCCTGATGTTGTCCTGTCAGCTGCTTTGCCTTCCGGCGGCTAGGGCGTCTACGTACCAAATGGGCGCAGCACGAGATCTATCAGCAACTTTCGCGAATGCTGCCGATGATGATACCTCCGACACGAAGGATGCCGATCAGGATTGCCCTGTGCAATTCACGCCGCAAGTCTTCGCTGGAGTACGAGAACTCTGTCGTCATGGCGATGGCGGCGATGGCGGCGATGGTGATTTGTGCTGTGCGGCTATCCAGGACGTAGCGATGAACGTAATGACTTATGGCGCCACGTGCAAGAACAATATGCTTGGCGCCTTCGAGGCCTACACAGCTGTCCCTTCGAAGACGGTGTCCAGGTGCCTGAGCGTGGAGGGAAGAAGTGTTCTCGATCTGCTTGCAGACATGTCAGCAGAGGCCTCCACGTCAGCAGAGGCATCCATGTCAGCAGAGGCATCCACGTCAGCAGAGGCATCCACGTCAGCAGAGGCATCCACGTCAGCAGAGGGATCGGCGTTAGCAGATAAAACATCGTCAGCAGAGTCGTCCACGTCTGCAGAGGCATCCACGTCAGCACTTGAGGCTATGGCTTCTGAGTCGTTGACTGCGCCGCTCATCTCGGAAGGATCGACCTCTTGAAGATCCGCCGCGATGGACAAAACAATGATTAAGAGCGCTGCGTTGAATAGGATAGCAGAGGAGGAGGAGGAGGAGGAGGAGAGAGGAGTGCATCTCTCTATTTCTACCTTGTAGGTCTTGACTTTTCCTGTGCGCGCTTTGGATGCGCCATCTGTTATATGAATGTGATGACAGAGGACGAGGAGGAGGAGGAGGAGGAGGAGGAGGAGGGGGAGGAAGGGGAGGAGGAGGAGGAGGTCGTGGAGGAAGACGTGGACGAGGAGGAGGAGATCTCCCTTGTCTTGGCTTTTCATGTGCGCGCTCGTGATGCGGCACGTGTTATACGAATGGGAATGGCAGAGGAGGACATATCTCTCTCTTCCTGTTGATGTTGTGGCTTTTCCTTTGCGCGCCATCGGTGCGCCGCGTGCTATAACCTCTAGGCGCTTCGCTGGCTCTGACTGAGCGCAAGAAGAGCATGGGTATTTTCGAGCCCTTTTTTTTTTTTTTTTTTTGGAAAAGGGCGAATTGACTTTTTTCGCCTTTGCCGCGCACGTGTCCTCGGGAGTCGGGGCAAAAGCAAAAACCAAAAGGACCCCAATGATCTGACGTCAGCCGTTGATCTCGTTGAAGATCGAATGCACGTCAGCCGATGGTCTGGTTCAAGAAGGCGAATGCACTCCTGTTCCTTCCCAAATATATAAAGAAGGACAGAGCGTGGACCTGGCCACTTTTTCGGACGGGTTCATGCTTTCTGAGCGCCCGTCGTCTAGTGGAAAGGAGAGTTGGGGAGGGGCAATTTCAAATGACGGAAGCGCCAGGCGGCAAAAGCTTGACGGATGCCTACGGTAGTCAGGCACGGCATTACTGCGCGCCAATGACTGATGGTAGTTACAGTTAATTGGCTTCCAATTGAGAGAAAAATCGACCTGGGGGCATTCATCATTTAGAGTGCGTCAGGAACTAATCTAACCCCCCCCTTCTCTCTCTCTCTCTCTCTCTCTCTCTCTCTCTCTCTCTCTCTCTCT